TATCAAAACTACAGCGAGCGCTGCAAAAAATTCGCGCGAATATTTTTGCCTAGCCCGTGTATAAATTTTGACTCAACTTACTCGTATGTTTGGCAAAACATGGCACCGTTTCCAACCATATTTTTTAACGCTACGAGTCGAGTGTAAGAATTTCTGGCGGTCGGCCAAAAAAATAAGGGCGTAAACGCTGATATTCAAAGTTGAAATGTCTTATTATGATTGTGTCTCCCGCTTCATAGAGGGAAAAACTTATTTCGTTTAGGACAAGACTAAACGATGAAAAACTAGAATCGCGAAGTTACACATGAGTATGTACTCAATGGGCATACTAATGTTGAAGGTTTCTGCAAAAGTTTGTATGAGTATGTAAGAACATGTATATAATTATAAAGAGAAGTATTGATTGAAGTTTTTCATCGACGATTGGGATTTCATCTACGTATAAAATGTAACTTATTTGAGACTAGCTGCTACCCGCGACTACGTCTGCGTAGAATAGGCTGATAACGTAAGATTCAGACAGCAATTATAGCCTATGTCTTATTCTGAGGTATAAGCTAAATTATTGTAAAGTATTATTAAAATTCATTCAGTAGTATTTGTGTGAAATAGTAACAAACATCTATCCATACATACAAACTTTAAAATATTAGTAAGGATTTAATTTATACGTAGTACAATCCGTGTTTTGTTCATTTAATCTCATTTGTGATTCCATGACCTCAATGCCCGGGTCGTTAAACCCGATTGGCGTATTGATAGTGGACCTGTCTCCTGCGCAACAGGCTGTGGCTCCGATCCCCACTATAGTAACAATATTGTGTGATGAACATTGTGGTCTTCCAGTGTTTAGGCGTTTATTTAACTACTAGCGAACCGCCCCGGCTTTGCACGGTCGCAATGTATTATACATAATAAAGCTTCCTCTTGAATCACTCTATCTAGTAAAAAACCGCATTAAGATCCGTTGCGTAGTTTTAAAGATCTAAGCTTACATAGGGTCAAACAGACAGCGGCACGATTTTTTTATACTATGTAGTGATATGTATTTATTTATAAAAGAAAAGTGTTATTAGTGTGTTTATTAGTTACCTAGTATGCATAAAACAAGTTTTACTGAGTTTAGGACTAGATAATGTTGTGTTTAAATATATTCTAAAATATTTATCTTTAAGTCTACGTCTGAATTATATTTTAGTGATGACTAAAAAGAATTAACGAGCTTTATGAGTCATCTGTAAGGAATTCTTTACCTCACTAGTCGTGATGAAATGCAAAACATACAAATTTCATAATTGACTAACGTAACACAAATACTTATAGAACACAAATACATATCAACCAAGCAGGATTTCTTGGATTTGACATAACCAGAAATAATGTTTGATTTGTGAGAAATTGCAACCTAAATGTTAGCTGTTCCGAACTCCGCAAACTATTCATCAATACGTAAGTTTCTGCACTGAAATTGCAATGGCTTTGAATTTAACACTAGAACCAAAACGCGTTGCAACCAAACCACATTTCACCTGCAACATGCCGCCCGGAACTAATTTAACACGTTCAATTCATGTCAAATAACACTAATGAAATAATGTGTAATATTAACATATTACATTTATGGTAAGCTTTTATGTTTTCTTAAACCATTAAAATTCAAAAATATCGCCATAGTAATCTTAATAATAATTCTTTATTTCTCACCACAGTATGTATAGTATTCCAAAAAATGGATGTTTTCATATTGTGGGAGACTGAAGACTGGTCAAGGCTTTTATTATTGCCTCATCAGGTCCCCTCTGTTTATAAATTTGATAGTGTATTTACAGTTTCAAACACGTATCTTTCAAATATCTCCGTACTAAGTAGGATACCTAAAACCTGTGTTGTAAAAACGGTTTACACGAATAAATGCCCATCTATGGGAAGAAATTATATCCGCATCCAACAAATATTTTCCCCGTGTGGACATCGAATCCACAACGCACATCATCAATGGCAATATCTTATCACCATCAACATTTCAGTCTGTTCGAGTCAACTGCTGAACGTATGCCCCCCTCCCAAATTATTACGCTAAAAAAGGGTGGTAAAATTCAAACAGAGAAAATAAACTTAACAAAATTTTATAAAATCTACATAATTTTATTCACATAATTTGTCGTTTTATTAGGATTCCGTACCCTAATGGTAAACAACTGAACCCTATTACTAAATTTGCCTTTCTGTCTGTCTGTCCGTCTGTCCGCATGTATCTCATGAACCATGATAGTAAGACAGTTGAGATTTTCATAGACGATGTATTTTTGTTGTCGCTATAACAACAAATACTAAAAAATAGAATAAAAAATATTTAAATGGGCCTCCCATACAACAGACATGATTTTTTTGCCGTTTTAATAGATATATATGGCTACGGAACTCTTCTTGAGCGACACGTCATTATTTTATAGGAACTAGCGTCAATCTATGCTTGTAAAGCCAAAGCGTAACTTTGGCTTTACAAGCATTGATAATATAAAAGAGATTCTAAGATGTTATGGGTTAATGCCCATGTTCATTATTGGGTTGAAATTTTTAGTCACCTTTAACTTAAAGATTTGATCTTTTCACTACTGTCAATTTAGAATGATTTAGAGAATAGTAATTATTACATCAGATAACGGTTCTTTAACGAATCCCTATTTGAAAGTTTCATAAAAGAATTCATAATCTAAATTAAACAAATATATGAAAATTCTGAAGTTTTCTCCTAAAACACAAAGCATATGAAATAAAGTATACGAACAAAGATAATAAAGGCTTTAAGATTTCACTCATCCTAAAACAGGTGTTAGTACGTACACTTGTTTATTATCACAAAGCCCCGGCTTATTAGGCTCATATCTATCTGCTAGCGGGTCCGCCTCCATAGTATAAAACAAAGTCGTCCCGCTGTCTGTCTTTCCTTAGAACTTTAAAACTACGCAACGGATCTTGATGCGTTTTTTTTACTAGATATAGTGATTCAAGAGGAAAGTTTATATGTATAATACATTGCACCCGTGCGAAGCCGGGGCGGGTCGCTAGTATTTTGTAAAGAATCAATCTTAAGAAAAGGTGCCAAATATTATTGTTACTACTAAACATAGTATTGGTACGGTTACCAGCTTCCTAGTTCTAACATAAATCAGCACAAAGGTAGTTTAGCATAAGCCAACACTTAAACGTGGTGGTAGGACACGAAACAGTCTTCACTGTTACACAAATGGGCATGTCCGTCTGTGTACCTACCACGACCTCACAGAAGACCAGCCCGAAGCGAAAGTGTTATACTTTAGCTTTTCACCTGCTTAGTGAGAAAGCCGGACTCCACTTTATTAAGGAGGTAGTGAAAATGGGAACGCGCAACGGTTATCACTTAATATCAGGTAAACTACTACCTTCGACTCGCTTGCTAACTTCTCACATAAAGAAGGAACTTAGGCGTGGCTATTTAGGCGTGTATTGTGTAAGAAACGTAAAATAACGAGGAGGTAAGTAAAATATAACTTTATGGGCAGTCTATAAATCCATTGTGCATGTGCAGACAATCACGTAGCATGTTAATGCCGCACTCACAGAAGCGATTTAAAATTAAAACACACTTAACCTATTATTCTACTTTTGACCTTAGTAGCATTAGTGTTACATTACGCTGTAGTAACATTAGCGTTCGGTTCACTATCGAACCAAACAGCTTGGTTTGCACTTTTTACCTAGAGTGCATTGATACGTTGTAAGCATTAAAATATACCGCGACAAGCAATCAGTTCAAGGTCGGTCATCAAGCTAACCACACGTTCTCAAAATACCTAGTTATCATATCATAAATATCATATTATCGGTATCATTTTAACTATATTCAAAGTCAAAGTCAAAGTCAAATATCTTTATTCAATATAGAAGCATTCACTTACTTATTGATAGTCAAAAAACTCTACCACCGGTTCGGAAGGTAAGCCACTGACCTGAGAAGAACCGGCGTAAGAAACTCAGCGGGACATTATTTTTTTTTTTTACTTGCCAAAAAAAATTACAAATATGTGTACAATTATTAAACTCCTATTAAACTCCACTTGAAAGAGCCTGGAGCGATCAATTCATTTCCAGAGTGTTTAGTTTTGTAATGAAGTGTTCTAAGAAATTATATTATCATTTATATTATCATAACCGGTGTTAGATGCTCCTAATTCAACAATTAGTGTTAAATAATGACTTAAACGGTATATATAGCTGACCCTTGTCTTCCGGTGAATGATGTTCTCGTTTTTATTCCCTTAGACTTTCCAAATCGTCTAAAATTTTTACAAAACGTTTATAATATTTCCAAATAAAAATAAACGTTTTCTATATGAATTAAACTGTGGAATACTAATAACATACGTGATAAATCTGTTTGTGCTGATATGGCACTTTCATAGCTTAAAAATGTTGAAATTGATAAGACAAATATGATATTTACGGAATATTCTTTCGGATATATTAGTAATATAACTTTAATAATATAAATTTAATAACGGTAATATAACTTTATTCATTTTACTTAAAATAAATTTATTTATGTGTTATCTAAAATTATTAATTTTTTTATATTTATAAATTATAAAAGATACTTTCTTAAGCAGCTGATTTCCTTTAACTCATAGGAATGAAAGGATATTTTCCTTTCGTTTTGTTATATATGTAATTGTTCAGAAATCTTTTTATGAAAAACTCTTATAGGAAGTCAATTATTCTCTTTAGCATCAAGTCGATTAATATGGTAAAATATCATTAGTGGTTGTGAACTCGATAATTATGGACTATATAATTATGGAATAAATTAAAATAATCATATTTAAAATTTAAAAATAATAATTTAAATATAATATTTATTATTTTTGTATTAGTTGTACAGAAAACTCTTCTTACACATTTTGTAAATATAAAGAGAAATTACAATATTAAAAAAAGCTTCCTTGTAAAAAAAAAATACAAACCATCAAGCAAGCACAGGAACAGTACAAAAAGATGACAAATCCTTTTCATCTGGACGATTGTAAAGTCACTCCGATTTCTAAAGAGTTTACCAACGAAATTTAATAAAATAATGCCGATATAAACGATACAAAGCCGAACACATGCGAACAATATTTTTATCTTTACGAAGTAAAATTTAAACACTCTCTTTCGTAGAACTGAAACGAACGCAACACAATTCGCCTACGGACGTAGAGGCGTTGTCGTAACGCATAGCGACCGCGTGCTACGGCGGCTTCGGCTCGACTGGCTGCAGCGTAGCGCCACCTCTACGACGCTGCTCATTATTTTAGCAAACTTGGCTTGTGTACTCGCACCGTAATAAAGCCGCTGCTTTTTGTATCCATGTATACGGAATTTGTATTTCCTTGTACATTTTGTACATCTGTATGTATCGTGAAACGAAAATAAAACAAATGTTAGAATTTTTTGATTACTTAATGAATACAGAATCTAATAATTATTTTCGTAGGAAATACAAATTTTTATTAGTGACCACACCGCCCTTAAAATTTCTTTGGTGTTGCAACGTTGCATTGTGGTTATTACCAAACTAGAATTGCAATATTTTTTATTAAAGACAGATTTATTGTCTCAACCACAATTAACACAGTACTTTCAAAGGTAAGTAGTATAGTCGAGCGTAAATAGGCAACATTATAAGATTAGGTTCGTCGATTAGTCCGTACCCAAAGGGTGGGTACCCTATTACTAAGACCTCGCTATCTGTCTGTTCGTTTGTCCCCAGGCTGTATCTCATAAACCGTGACACTCACTGTTAGACAGTTGAAATTTTCACAGATGATGTATTTCAATTGCCTCTAGAACAGCAAATAACAAAAAATAACTAAAAAAACAGCATACAAAAGATTTAAGTGGGGCTCACATACAACAGGCATGATTTTTGGCCGTTCATATGTTACTCGCACTCGGCTGTTTTTTTTTTATTTGTAAAATATTTGTTATTATCGGGTTAATAAAACGAAATATATTTTAAAAACTTGTAACCAAATTTTAATGCTTTTCTTATATTAAGCTTAACTATGTTAACTAGTTCTTAAAACTGTTCGACTGGATCTTTTTTTTTAAATTTGTAGAAAGCATCTTTTTTTTTCAGGGAACGCCACTGGTCCTAAGATAGCTGACATATGCTATTGAACATTATTCACAAGGCGTGCTGACCCCGTTTCGGAAGGATAAGTGTAGGAGGTTGAGTATGGCTGCATTTTTTTATATGAGAAGTTACAAAGAATGAGAAGTTACAGAAATTGACAAGCGAGCTGGTAGTTGGCCTGGTGTTAAGCTGATACCGGTACGTACATCTTCCGATACGTCTATAATACCCGAGGCGTTGCAACTGTGTTGCCAACCTTTAAAAACCGGCCAAGTGCGAGTCGGTCTCCCGCACGTAGGGTTCCTATGAAAACGGCAAAAAAATCATGCTGTTGTATGGGAGCCAAACTGAAACATTTTTTCCTTTTTTTAGTACTCGTAGTTATAGCAACAGAAATACATCATCTGTGAAAATTTGAACTGTCTAACTATCACGGCGGTAATTATTTAGACTGCATTCATCTTTCCGAACGATTTCAATGGAGAAACATGAATAAAGCGTGAACGGATTTTTTTTTTATGTGAAAGGTTGCCAAGCGAACAGACGGTTCACCTGATGTTAAGTGTATACCGCCGCTCATGGAAGTCTGCTACACCCGAAGGTTTGTAGATGCGTTGACAACCTTTTTGAAAATTGGGCTCCGGCCACTTCACTCACCAGACGAAACGCGAAAGTATTATACTTTCACTTTACGCCGGTCTTGGTACTTACCCGGACGAGCCTGCCCATTTGTGCAACAGCCGAGGCTGCTGAGTGGCCCTACCACCATCAGAAGGAAATTACTTAGAGGCGTTCACACAGAGTCACTCACTCATATAATTCACATTTTATTTATTTATGCGAATACAATGTATTGTTTTATTCGATATTTTAATGTATTTGTTCATTATCATCATATTTTAAGGCCAGTATCGTCGTTAACGTGTATTTGTATGTATAGAGGAAAGTGTTTGAAATATAGGGAAATACTGAATAGATAAAATTCGAAGACCGTTCAAAAGTTCCATGTAACTGTTTCCATAGTGTCCCCTTTTATTACGAATAAGGGAGAGGTACTATCCATCATGGATAGTACCTCTCGTACTATCCATCATACCCGATGGTAGAGACTGATATCCGTGATAAATCTCAATCACATCAAGATTTAAACAGGATGACGAGATACAACAGCGCAACGATAAGTAGTATTAGATTAACAGAAGTTTAAATACGATTCACAGAACAGTAATTCATGAGCTCAGAGATGAATATCTTATATCCGTTTTCAAGAGTCAAGTTAAAGATTTCTCTTACGAATTGATTAAGAAATCCTTAGCAAATTCACCAGCAAACTAGCAACATATCGAGCTATGGAACTTAGATTTAATACTAAAAAACCAAGGCCAGTAAGTCAGTGACAAATAATTAACGATAGAAGGTAAACTAATTGAGTAATGTATTTAACAACATCTATTAACAACATCATGTTGACTAATAAACATAATTCAATCCTTTTTTCTTCTACAATTGATAATATTATGTAAGCAGACATATACAGTTATACGGTGCTGCGGGCAAGCACTTTGCGACAATATAAACTCTTCATAACGGATATCTGAATGATACATTGTATTGTCTATTGAGACATTTACTTAAACAGGTATGTGAGAGCAATCCGTAAGTTATGTGTCATAACTTACGGATAATTAAAGAGGTAGACAATTGTAAAGAACGAAAAATCGATTTGACGGACCGTGCAAGCGCTAAACAATGACAAAATTTATAAATAACATCTAACATAGATTATATATGACAAGTATTAGATTTTTACTAGAAACTATATTGTTAAATTATAGTGCTAATTTCAATAGAGAAGATATTCGGGTTTTGCCGCCACCTTGGGATCACACAATTCATAAAATTTAATCCAATTCACACCAATTGGACGACACCCCACTATACGGAGTAGTGACCTGAGCAAATGTGCGGGAAGTCGATGGATGCAATCTTTATGGGAGATCTAGCAGTGGACTCCAACGGGCTGAGATGATGGTGATGATGACACCAATATTGTAGTAGAAACTGATACTGTAAGCTGCGTTCTGCGCAGATTATAAAAAAAAATACGATAGCCCAAATTAACTACATTAAACCAAAACACTTTAGTTTATCACACGACAATGCACTCTGTAAAGTGTTCGAAACGTCGGAAATAAAAATCAAAAATAATCACGTTTTTTTTTTATTTTATATTTTATATTCACAACCAATAATTGAACAGGATATGGATGTTATTTCTTAAAGAGCGTTGATATTGGGCATAATATACATTTTATGCGTGAAACGAGGGCAGAAAGCATGAATAATGTTTTTAAGCTAAAGGTTAAATGGCAAATGGCCGTACACCGGGCCAGTATTTGAGTCAGTTTCTTTATTACCATGAATTTTAGATGTATCACACACGGGAAGTATAATATTCAGTATCTTTAAAAGCGAATTCCATAGTGATAGCATTTTCACAATATCTTTTACAATACGAAAGCATAATGAAAAGTCTTCAGAATATTTTAATGGGGACTGACATACTGACATTGTTGAATACAACTAGAGGAGATATTTTTATATTTCATTCACAGGAATAACATGCTTTAACATTTTCTTTCTAGTGCAGTGACATCATTAAAAATAATGAAACGTCACGTTAAAATTTAAAGATGCCTCTTAAAATATGTAGTGTAGTCATAATTTAAAACTTTTTTTTATTTTAACTGAGTACCAATTACGTTAATTAATTTGTAGTGTTTTTGACGTTTCAAATATGCTGTGATATTATAATTATTTAGAATTAACAACAGGCGAGAGAACTTGTTGCTACAGACCTAAATATCACTGCGTACCTGTATTGAATAAGAAAAAAATTTTAAAATACAAATTGGCATGCTCCACGCTGTGTGATTGTGCTTGCCCCAGGTTGTTAATAATCCAGCGCTTTAATTCTTAATTTTTATTTTATACGCACGCAGTAGACAAAGATTATTTATTCTTTACTCTGAAATGAAAGTATTGTCATAATAATGAGAAGGTAGTGAGAATGTATGTGTTACTATAAAGCAAATATAAAGGTAATAACGCTTATTTAACATTTAAAGAAGTTTTCTAAACACTATAATTAGGAATTAATGCATCATAAACAAAGCGATTATCTTTATTTGGAGGACGTCACACACAATGTGTCAAGGAGTTCAAATCTCAGGCAGTCGCTACCTCTAACAAAGTTACAAGGAATGTGAGTTCAAAATATTATAATATATATTTTATTCTTAGCAAAAATACAGGCTCTCAGGTACTTTACTCTCTATACACAGACCTTAAATTATTTATGATTCTAACTAATGTGATTTTAACGCATAACGCAATCCAAAAATCGGAGAGATGTAATGTCAATAGTTAAAATAGTTACAAATAATTTTTGTGAAGAAATAGCCCTTTCAAACTAATTCGTTTCATTGTGAAGTTTTTCTTATTATTATTATTGAATACAGCGTGAAGAACCCAAGGATAATAATGCAGCGATTGTGTGAAACGAGTTGAAGAGACGAACGAAATTACCCAAAGCAATCGTCCATTAGGCAAGGCTCTTGTAAGCTTATTCTCACACGTACCACTCGACGTGGGAATGTCTTTTTGATGTTTAATGAACCGTGCGCGCTGAATTTTGTTCGTCGCGGTAAACCCGTCTTGATTTGTAACAATTTGTTGTTTACAATCAAGTACGCGAACAGAAAATAAGACAGCCATATCCGAATTCTACTGCAATGCGACACTTCGAAAGTGTAAACTCATTACTTATCAACATAAATATTTTATTATACAACAATTTCTTCAAAAATTTAAATTAATTAAGTCATTAATTATC